AAGGAGGGAGGGGGGGGGGTGGGAAATAAAAATAGTTTTCATATTTAGCATACGATTTTGGCAAAAGCATCTAGACACAGGAGAAAATAAAAATAAAATTGTATTGATGAATACAAACAGTATAGTAGTGCGACTGATAAATGCTGTAACTATGTACAGTTATGGAAGAATCATCCTATTTTTGGAGATTTTATTTATGGGGATGGACGGCATAAATAAAAACTGAAAAAGCAATTTTTTCCTGAAATTTGCATTTTTCATGGCAGATGGTGCACTAACTGATAAAAAATAAAATTTCATGTTTACTAGAATCCCCATTATTGGCAGTTGAAAGGTTCGCTAAACAAGGTACTGTATAGGCCTACAAAAATTTCGCCGAATGGTGAAAATAATAATGACAGTGTTGGCAAAAAGAAGTATGATTGATGGTAATGTGTGATGTAATCATAATGTCCAAGGTCAAATCAAACAAATTCAAACATAAAATCTTCATAGTGTAGGTAGATTTTGTATACTATGTTTCTTTGTGAAATAATAAAAGGTGCTAACGATGTTGCACACATAATTATACCCAGCATAGTTACAAAAAACGAACACAGTACCTGCAGAATTGCGGCCACAAACAAGATGCTCAGAGGATTGCAAGACTCCCCACAGATCGCAATCATTAGCGATTCCATATTCCAGTAAATCTATTGTCAAAGCGTAGCCCTCTTTGGATTCATACGCATTAATTACAATACGGTTAAACATCTCTACTAACAAATTCTCCATACATGCAGCTAAATACACGGCAGACAGTTCGTGTATACGTAACGCAACCTGCGAATCAACCAGCCACCTAAAAAATTTACCAACCGAAAAAATGAGTCCGGCACGAACGCTTTTACTCTGTTTGTATTGTTCACCGTTCATTTGGTACAGCGAGAGTGATTTCAGCGCAGCATTTAAGCAACTCTCGGCTAATGTTTGTGAAAAGACTATCTTTATAGCCGTGTGAATTTCATTTTTGCTACATTTTTCATACAAAGAGCTCAAACGTTTAGCTTCTTTGGCAATCCTTAGTAAAGGTCTCTGAAGTAGATATGATAATCGCTGTATAATATCAATCGGTATTTTTTCACCGACATGTCTTGTACCGGTATTCTGCAAGACCACCGCGACATGTTGGTTTGTCCATGGAACACGCTCCAACTCTACCATACGAGTAAACCGTTCCGTGCAGTCATTATCATCCGGAAAACTTGTATTCAAAGTGTCATAGCTTCCTTGATGATTTGTTTTAAATTCGGGTGTGAATCCATTGATTTGGATATGAGTCTTTGATACAGAGGAGGAGTTAGAGCGAGAATGAGATGAGTGACTTGTTGCACAGGAACTCCGACCAGAATTAGAACTGTCAACAGGAAAATGCATTTGGTCAAAAGCGGAGTTTAAACCTTGCAACCCCGCCATCTTAGCACTGTTTTGGAAACTTAATGTTTTTTTCACATATTTACATCATCATTTTCTTGACAACAAAGTCATGGCTAAAAAATTCTTCCAAGAGGTCTAGCTTGTCTCCTGCAAAAAATAGAAAGAAAAAAAAAAACAAAACAATTGTTAATTACTGTATAGTTCATCAAAAATACATTTATGGCTACTGTAATCATTGTTCACATTAAAAATGCTTGCATTACAAAACTTTTCATATTATTTTATACACAATATCAATTTATATATACAACTACTGTAATAAACAAGATTAATTGAAACATAGATGTAGTACCATATTACATATTATTATTATATTACATATTAT